CTTCTTCTTCTTCTTCTTCTTCTTCTTCTATCCACACAAATAGCGCAATCATGTGTATTAGAGGAATCATGCACAGTGTGCGGTCCCAGAACATAAAACTGTAATGACAAAAAGGTAATGACTGGGAAAAGGTACAGATTTATACTGGAAGTCCCAAAAAGTGCACAAAAGATACTGCCCTCACCTACTGTTTGTCTCTAGGGTCTGCTGTTTGGAAATATACCACCTTTCAAACTGGAGGTGCCAAAACACCTTGTGGTGACTGTACGGGTTTCTTTCTTTTCCATTTTGCCACCCCCCAAAAAACAGATGTTTGAAATGCATGAGATGGGGAACTGCTTTCAGTACAGGACAAGGAAAGGCAATTGGAAAGGAAACATCTGGAAACATCAGGCATATGAGAGCGTATTATATGGAAGCACCTGGGTACCTTTATTTAGAACGTCCTCTTTTATTTCAATATGCGGAGGAGTGAATCTGGAGAGAGCATTTTTAACTACTCACAGAGTAAACACTGGCCCTTAAAATTAGATTGTAGTTGACCAAATGTCAGTGTCACATCCAAAACTGCATTCTCCAAAGCGCTGACATTTAAATGAGCACTTCAGGCAGTGTTGTGTTTTTTTTTAAGGATCTTAAAAAATAGCACTTGAATTTACGAAGAGCCAGAACAGAACTAAAACTGCAGCCCCATATCAGGTTCTCTCCCTAGAACTTTTATATACATTTACAGTGTCATTTCCCTGTGTTTTATTGCCATTACCATGGATGGACATGTGGAGAGGGGCAATGCATACTTAACTAGGAGAAGAGACTTGGAGCTGCCAATTGCAGTGGCAGCCCATGTACGGCATCACATCTAGTTCAGTCCTCACAGCACATAAGGTGTTTCCCTTCTTCTGCTCAGGCTTGCCCTAGTTGTACTGCCACAGAGCTGTTGATACCAGTGACCAGTGTTCCCTCTAAGCTGAGTTAGTGTGAGCTAGCTCACAGTTTTTTAGCCTCCGGCTCACACATTTTTGTCTTAGCTCAGGAAGGATGACTCCAGAGCAAACTAATTTATGCAGTAGCCAAATTGCTCACTCACAACTTTAATGCCAGTAGCTCACAAAGTAGAATTTATGCTCACAGGACTCCACAGCTTAGCGGGAGCATTGCCAGTGACACTGAGTCACATCCTTGTAGAAGCAGTCAGAACTTTGCCACCAAAGAGATGCCAGGCTTCCGAGAAGCCACAACGTGTGTTCAGAACCCTGGAGTCA